TACCTTGCATATCGTCATCATCGATGGTGGCTTTCTGCAGCGGCTCTTGAGGACTGGCAAGCGGAATCACAGCCAGGACAAGGAACAATGCGATGAAATGTTTCATGGTTAAACTTTTCCTGTTGAACAAAGTGAATTTGACTTGATTTTACGACATGTAATTGAAACTGTTAATTACAAAAAAACTTGCTGGGAGAGTAAAGACATCAATCTTTATACACTAGTACCTTGTTTAGCTCCTCTTTTAGCTTGGAAGTAGTTTGTGTGCAGACTTTGGCACTGAAAACTCGTAGCTATCGAAGTCAAAATGACCCTCTCAAATACTGATAGGAGAGGGCGTGTTCAGTAAAAGATTTACAAAATAGTGCACGAATTAAACAGTTTCAATTCAATCAAATTGCTTTGTCTCAAACAATAATAGGATCTTAGCTTTATAGCCATTTTTTCCAGCAATTCACAAGGGAGTGTGTACTGAAAGAACTTAGTCTGATGTTCAAGTCCCGCGGGCATGATTCATAATGAAAAGTTACATAATCGTCTCATCGAAATGATATGTGGTTATGTAATTCTGAAGACTTCTTTTCTTCACAGATGTAAACAATACATGAGGTATTTGGATTTTTGGGTTTAATTTCAATCAACCTTTTTTTGTGTTTTTTAGTTTGGCGCGGCGGTTCAAAAAAACAAGTTGGTGGATATTTTGGAGAACTAGAAAAAGGTAGATATTGGCAGCCAATCCAGCCGGCATCAATTCAAAACCAACGCTTAAAGCAATTGCTTGAAATACTAAAGAATATATATKATTTGTGCTCAGCCGATAAAGAAAAGCAAAAACCTTCAATTTRTATTCTTGATAGTTCACCTTTTATTTGTTGTTTATTAATGATATTTGATGACATAACATTATCGCAAGCGGAGTCTCAAAAGAGAGCTATAGAACCCTTCATTGAAAATTTAGTGTGAATTGACGTGGCTTTATGAATTAACGTTTTCAAACTTCTTCTTGACCTGAATGAAATGACGGTAGTTTTGATCGCTTTAGTTTAATATTAAAAGCATCATTACCAATCGATCCCAAACCTCCCCTCCCTCAATACAGTATTTAAACGAAGCCGCGTTTGTCAATACTGAATTMTGATTGGTTAGCTATGATTAGCGATTACCGTTCTGTAACCTAGGAACAATACATTCAACGCTTTGATCATGAAAAGAATTCCTAAGTAGACTAACATTACGATACAGGAAATATACTGAACTTTTGGATGAATATCTACTAATATAGACGATATAAATCCAATATGAACCAGCCAAGTCAGTCATAGAGAAGGTAAGGTTATTTGGGATCAAATGTTTGACTCTTTGACTATAATAGCTGTGTTTTGACCAACGGTTTGAATTTGATTCGACTAATATTTCCCTATCAGAAGTCTGAATTACGTTGAATATTATTTCAATGCACTATTAGAATAGAGAAAATTTAAGGAATTTAAGTCATTTATCTTTGAAAGCGTGCCACGACACTAGAGTGAAGTTATGCATACATGTAGATAATAATTGACGGCGAGTGAATTATTAAAAAGCGTCATTACGTTGCGCTCGAACCTGGTTCAAATGTTTTCATTCATTTGTTAATTGAAGCGGGATTTTATCTTAAAACCATTCCTCTTAAATGCATGCTAACCAGAAAATTAAAAGGCCTTTCAAATACCGAAAGCTCAATGAKTCCTCAATCAGGTCTTGCATGGTCGCGCGACAGCTGATGTGTACATAAATTGGTCGTTCACACAAAACGTGCTGTCTCTGARGACMTCTAAAGGGTTTCCCACTCAAATRTTTCATTGATATTTTTAAAGATCAAAGATTTGAGAAGCCAGCGAAATGTTGAATGRATTTGAACGMCAAATTGRGAATGTGAATGCCTATCAATTAAAAAAAAACAAATATAATGTCAAATTGATACAATATTGATTCGAATTCTAGCTGTTAAGTCATCATATAATGTCAGAAAAAACGTAGAAACCATTGCATATTATTGAGAAGGAAATACCATTTTTATTTTCCGATAGAAGTAACTCTAAAGATAYAAGATYTTATCTTGACAGTACAGGAAAACAACTTGAAAATGTCATTTGATAAAAATCTCGATAATTTTGTTGATATATCGATGTAATTTTCAGATGTTGTCATTGAGAGGGAATTGATTTACCGAACGATGCGTTTGCCGTTTTGGATTTGTGTATTATTATGGCAAGTTGCAGGTGAGCTCTTTGAAATATTACTTTATAAATATACAGTTAATTGAAATGTTTCAAAAAAGRCTAAATATTTCTAAACAGAATAAATTTTGATAATATATAACTATACTTAAAAATCTCTGAACACATTTTGTGCAGTTAAAAACTAGATAGACTAAGTGAATTCAGATTTGAAATTCGAAAAGAAAATTCCCTCACCCCCCTAGCTGTTGTCATATATTCTGATGTTCGGATATCTAATTAATAAATATATGTGTTTTAATCAATAGAAATAAGAGCTTCATGTAGTGGAACACCATGTCAAAACAATGCAACATGCACTGATGGTARCAATGGAACAGTATGCACATGCATTCAAGGGTTTACTGGAAGCAAGTGTGAGGTCAATGTTGATGATTGCGCAAGCAATCCTTGTTTCTTTAATGGCACTTGTACCGATGGAATCAATGCTTATTCTTGCAAATGTAAAGATGGCTTTGTAGGTGAGATTTCATTAATATATTATTTTTCAAACAGAAATCATGTTTCTGAATCAACATGCAATCACCTAAAGTTTATTATTAAACTGTAAAAAATTATGGTAAGAAAATTATTAAATATGCAAATCCTTTGCCAAAATGGCTACCAATCATAAAGTATAATTTTTGTTTTCAACTCAAGTTAAAATAAACCCTGAAATACTTGGCAAAACTTACTTAGAAGCTGAACAAAAGCCAGGGGGGTTGCCACCACCCCAACTTTGGTAGGGGTGTGTCGCAAAGCTGACATCAACACCTTGACCCTATCCCAGACTTAAAAGTCTGATTTTTCATACCCTGCCCCAGACTAAACTTAAAATTTTAAATGGAATTTACATTATTTCTGTGTCAACCGAAAAAACATAGTTTATTCCAGACTAAAAATCAAATTTGTTACCCTATCCCAGACAAAAACCAATACCCTACCCAAGACAAAAACCATACCCTACTTCAGACAAAAACCATACCCTATCCCCAGACAAAAACCATACCCTACCCCTCAGACACAAATGTCAGGGATACACATCAAAAAATATCAACTTATCAACCAGTTAATGCATGAACATATATGAAAAATTATTTCTGGGAGGTAGAGCACCACTCCCCCTCCTCTCCCCAGGACCACTCACATTTTCTGATTTTTAGTGACAAATTAACTTATTTGATTTCTTCCTTACCAGGCAATCAATGTGAAGCAGTTGTCAATAAGTGTCTTTATAATTTGTGTCAAAACCAAGCAACTTGTCAGAATTTTCAAGATGGTAGTTATAAATGCTTGTGCTCACCAGGATTTACAGGTATTAAATAATCAGAAATAATTTATATTGTCCGGAACACGTGGGTTTGCTAGAATAATTCATTGTTGACATCGAGAAAATGTTCAGAACTACAGATAAGTCTGTCGCCAAAAAAAAACTAAACTACAAAGACAAGGGACTAAGGGCATCGCACGGGATTACCCATCATGCACTCGATATTATGATATTTAGATATTTCAACAATTCTCATAATTTTTGCAAAAGGCTGTATAGTGATAATTATGAAAATATAAAAGCTGCTGCATTAATTMAATTTTGGGCTTTGGGACCTTGAACCTGCCCAGCAAGGATGTACATTCCTGCTTTAGCTGTATCCATGGTAACCATTAGAGTGAAGTCATTAAATCTTAAAACTACAGTACAGTAGCATCTGTCTAGCTCCAATTCTCCCTCTACTGCACACAGGACAGGAAGCCCAACTTCAGTACTCAGCAATCGTGACTTTCCTTTTTTATGTACTTCAGGTCAACATTGCGAAGTCAACATCAATGAATGCAACCAATCACCACCACCCTGTGGGGCKGGYGGCTCATGTGTCGATGGAGTCAATGGTTTTACCTGTACTTGTCAAACGGGTTATACYGGTACTCTATGTAATGTCACCATCAATGATTGTGTTGCAAWGCCATGCCAAAATGGTGCTACTTGCATCGACGAACTTAGTGGGTAAGCTGAAATCTCATTATATAGAAATGAAAGAAAGTTATAGTGCTTAGAAGGAGGCAATTCCAGGAGAAAGACCCTTAGGAATAAATTCGGAAAAATTGATGTCCAATCGCTGGAAATCTTATTCCATATACACATGCACTCCCAGTAAGATTGTAACATAGGAAATGCATATATTTGACTTATCATCATTATAATCATCATCATTTAGAAGGATTGCCGCAGTGTGTC